TAACATATCATTATCAATTTGCTGGTTTTGTGTGGCTTTTTGGACATAGCAATAACATTTATACTCAACAGTATTATTACATCTCTCAACTAATGATGAAATTACTGCAATTTTAGTTTGTGCTTACTAATACCAGAAATGACAAATATAATATCAAAATATAATAAAGATAAAAAATTAGCAAATATACAGTGTATAAGTGTTCTTAGTAAAAATTGGGGTTTTCCCCTTTTCTTGAAAGAGTGATTGGTGTGATATAGGAAATGATAGATTGAGATCTCCTGTCACAATGATTATGACATTGTCTAAGAGTGGCTATAACTGGCAAATCAGACAAGAATTGCAACCCTTTCTGTTTTGCTGTAACCATAACTTGCAAAATTCTGAATCTTCATCTGAACTTTAAATCTCCAAGGGCAGTCCTAAGTAGGGAAGTTACACACCACATCAGTAATATTTTCTCATGTCTTAACTGGGTTACACATCAGTTCATATTCTTATTTGTGTTATGAGATGGTTTAGGGCTCACCTTCTTCTCCTCCTCCTTTAAAAGAAAGCTTCTTAACGGAAAAACTAACCTGCTACACCAAGTGCCATTTTACTCAGAAACTTGGCCTCTATGGTTCATTTTGAAAATATAGGCTAGCATGTCCTATGGAAGGACACTACTTCATATCTTAGCTTTTAGGGTTTTTAAAAAGGTCTATTTGAAACGAGAAAATACTTTTCATCACTAGTTGAAGACATTGACTACACTCCCACCAAAGTGCTGTGACTTCCATTTGTTACCCAAAATGCATGAGTCCTTCCCTCTTAGGGTGAATGGTCCTGTAGAGAGAAAATCTGCCCGTCCTTGCTATGCCATTCATCTGAATCAAATGAATGGAAACGTAGTGTTCTGCGATCCAGTTGTGCAACATCTGGCTGAAGGAAAAGGAATAGCTAAATCACAGATTATTTTCAAAGCCAACAGGAACAATTATTTAAATATAAGAAGGGTGGGTGGAAAGCAAGGAAAACCTTAAGCATTTCCTTCACTTTGTTCTTATGCTAATCTGTTTGCTTGGAATAGCATTGTGTTTCACTTGCCCCTCTCCCTTGTCTTTCCAGCAGCTCCATTATGGTACAATAGACAGGGTTTTGTTTGGAATGTAGGATCCAGATTTGATTCCTGCTCAGCCAGGATATAGCCTTTGACTTTAGGCCTAATTTGTCTTTCAATTTTATACAAATTGTATACTGGACAAAGATGTAAGGCAAAATCCTGTGAGCTTTGAGACGATGGGGGACAAACCTTTAATTTACTAAATAGTAATTGATTGTCCTTGATAGTTTTCAGAACTTCCTTTTTTGTTTCGTGCATTCCTTTCCTTGTAACTGAGAGCATTACAGCAGTTATAATGTTACATGAAAAACTGCTGTATTGCTATGGACCAGCTAAAACCCTGTATAGGTATTTAACTCAGATACACACATGAATAATTAAGTTATGCAATGGTTGATATACATAGCTTTAAGTGGCTTTTTAAAATAGGGATTTTGCTAATTCTGGACACATGTAATATTCATAATCATTGCATCTGTGATGCCTTAATCATGCTCTTTTTTGTTTTTACTAAGAAAGGCACAATTCAATTCCTATTTTCATTTTATCTTTTACTTCCCCCTCTACCTCCTTCTCATTCAGTTTTATAGTTCTTTTCAGACATAAACATAGAGGGGAAGCAATTTTGATTTCATTTCTGAGTGGCGCTGCAAAGAAAAGTAACAAACATCTGTTTTTGCCTTAACTGCATCCATATGTTCAAACTCTCTAATACACGTCTCCTGGAGAAATTTACAGCCCTATTTGGTGGGTATTGCATACTGTTGAATTAACTTTTTTCACAGTTAAAACAGAGCAGAGATTAATTTGTGCCAGGACTCAGCAAAAATCAGCTCTAGTTGCTGTTTTCAAATGCTAGGCTTCAATTCTGGGACATATGAAACAATTTAAAAATTGCTCCTGAGTATGTACAGAGTTCTTGGATGAGTAGTTGAATATTGCCCTAACATATTCAGCACTAAGGAGAGGAAGTTCAAGTCCATGGGCATGGCCCATTGGCAATCCGTCTCTCCAAGCGCACCTTTCTGTGTAAAAATTCAGTACTGGATTATTAAATAGGTTTAGAGATTGCAGTTACACATTAAATTCCAAACTAAATTGTCATGGGAAGTCTGCTTTTCTCCTGGCCCCTTTTCGCAGCCAAAAATATGGAAAAGCAAACAATGCTGCATGTGTATGCACGCGAGAGGAAAGGAGAAAGGGTATATCATAATTAGCAGAAATTATCAATATTTACCTATATGTTCACTTGTTAACACTTCTTTTACAGTTTAATACGTGGATTGTTTTATACCACAAATGTTTGTAATGTAAAAATTGACTGTTACAGTCCATTCTGTTTATAGCATAATTTTATAGTATTGGGAATAATTACACAGCCCAACAAAAAAAATGTCTTGTGTCTTGGTTTTTAGGCCTGTTCCTGGGGTTATTTGGGTTGCTGCTTCAGAGGATTATGTTGGTATATGGTCTGTGTTCTCTTTCTCAAAAACCACAGCTGATAGGGGGAAACTGGTGTCGTTTTTGGAATCAGCAGGTCAAATATACCCAAAACAGGTTCAACATTTGAGACTCCAAAATATGTGTTGGCCTGTATTATGGAAAGAGCCAAAGTTCTACTGTTACTGAGAACAAAAAGGGGAAGTGAGCTTTATATTATAGAACTCAAGAGTTTATTACAGAACTATATCGGAGATACTTCAGTAAATTAAAATAATAAAGTTCTGTACTGTTTGTAAACAAAGCAGATAGGTAAATGTTACTTTGCAAAGGACACTGTCAAAATGAATGGTGTTACTTTTTGAGATGCTGCTGCTAGGGAACCCAATAATAATAATAATAATAATAATAATAATAATAATAATAATATCATACACTTTATTTATATTCCGCCCTTCTCCCCGGAGGGACCCAGAGTGGATTACAGTATCTATAAAGCAGACAAAAGCAAATATTCAGTGCCTTATTTAAACATACAATGAGACAACACAGACAAAGGCAAGGACTTATCCTTTCATTTCTGGCTTTGGAGGCAGTGCTCATCTCTGGTTCTGGGAGGTGCTCGTCAAGCCAAATAGCCTTCGTAGTTACCTCCTGGTCATGTTGCTAGCATGATTGTTTGGAGCGTCTTTTATTGCCTTTTCCTGCCAAAGCAGTACCTATTTATCTACTCACATTTGCATTTTTTCGAACAGCTAGATTAGCAGGAGCTGGGCTAACAGCGTGAGTTCATCCTGATCCGTGGATTCGAACTGCCGACCTTCAGGTCAGCAGTTCAGCAGCACTAGGATGTAACCCATTGCACCACCACGGCCCTAGTCAGATTACACTGAAATTAAGCATCTGAAGTTAAGTCAGATGCTTAATTTCATTGTAATACGTTGTCAAGACCATTGAAATGTTATTTAAAACTCATTTGTAAAGGTCTTAGAAGTTCTTGTTTGCATTTGAGTAATTTCTGACTTATGCTGACCCTTAGGCAAACCTATCATGGAGTTTTCCTGACTGATTGGTTCAAATACCATTTGCCTTTGTTTTCCTTTGGGGCTGAGAGAGTGTGACTTGCTCAGGATCACCTTGCGGATTTCCATTATCAAATGGGAATTCAAACACTGTTATCCCAGTATTGTGATGCACTCTAACACTTGGCTTCCTTCTTAAAAGTTACAGATATAAAATACCTGGCCTAGCTTTTGAACGAGATATGCTTACATAGAACATTAAAGGATGAAAATTTGCTATTTCAGAACATTTCAGTTTGAAACCACTTGAACTGCCAGGGCTCAATGCTATGGGATTCCGAGAGTGAGAGTTTTGCAATATCTTTAGCCTTCTCTGCCAAAGAGTACTGGTGTCTCACCCAACCACAACTCCTATGATTCTTTAACACTGAAACATGGTAGTTAATGTTGTTGGAGGAAATGTTTGTTTCCAGGAGGAAAATTTTGAGAGTGCCTTGGACCACACGAAGATCAAACCAGTCCATACTCCAGGAATTAAAACTCGACTGCTCACTGGAGGGAAGGATATTAAAGGCAAAGATGAAATACTTTGAACACAGGAAAGCTTAGAGAAGACTGATGCTGGTGAAAATGGAAGGAAAAAGGAAGAGGGGTCCACTAAGGGCAAGATGGATGGATGTTATCCTTGAAGTGACTGGCTTGACCTTGAAGGAGCTGGTGGTAGTGATGGCCGACAGGGAGCTCTGGTGTGGTCTGGTCCATGAGGTCACAAAGAGTCGGAACGAATGAACCAATAAACAAAAAAATGACAGTTAAACAAACTGTATGGTTTTCAAACTGCATTAATTCTATGTACAATGTAAAGGCATACTAGGACTTGTTTTGGTCACAGTTTAGCTTGAATTTAATTTTTTTCTGTTACGTTTGTATGTGTTGCTTTTGATACTTATTAATACAACTTAGACGTGTTCTAAAAATATTTTGAATTCTCTTTCACACCAACAAGTCTGGTTAAAGATCTTTGTTACCATTTTCTACTTTGGATAATGACCCAGGGTTTGGGGTGAGGCACTTAAATTGTTTTCATGAGTTTTCTTTAGTACCTGTAAAATATTAGCTTTTTTTTTGGCTCTCTACACACAAAGCAAGCGGAATCCATAAGGAGAGTTTCTGATTGTAATAGCTGATCTCTGCTTAATATCACAGAGCAGAATGAAGTTTTGCAGTTTCTCATGGAAATAGCCTCTAAAGTACTAAAAAGATTACCTCATTCTTATTACCAGTGCCAAGCACTTAGCCCCACAGTGTGCACACAGGCTTCAAGGTTTTTAAAAAAATCCAGACTATAGAATGACATTTTCAGGTGACAGGGATGGTTCTATTGCCTGCAATTAGCACCTTTTGAACAAGCAAACCTCCTATGTGTTTTCCAGGCTGTTGAAGCTCAGATCCGAAGTTTTGGACAGACTCCTTCCCAGTTGCTCATAGAACCACATCCCCCAAGAAGCTCTGCGATGCAGGTGGTAAGTTAAGTGTGAGGTTGATGTTCTCTGCATCAACAGCTCTCTCTTTATTTCTCCCCCTCTTTCATGCACATACAGAAACTCCTTCCAACACATATTTTGAATGGCAGATTTTTTTTTCAATCTAAACCAGAACTTTCCAAACTGTGTGTCGTGACACATTACTATGTCGGCTTCAGTATATAGGTGTGTTGCGCGAATGTAATGAGTAATTACAATAATCTTGGAAATGTATGGTATTATCTTACAAATCATATATTTTAAAAAATATAAATTAAAGGTTTTCATGAGATATGTTGTGTCCCCATACATTTCATTATTACAATTTATGTATGTGTATGTATCTTTTATAAGGGGTTGGTTTAACCTCTGGTTTACTAGTAAAACTGAATTGCGAAATGATACATATCTAAAAAGTGTGTAACCAACAGGAAATATTTGGAATGCTCTGGTCTAGACTATATTGTGAAGTATAGTGTTATGGTCAGAATGAAATCCATTACAATGCAGAAGTCATGAAGTGTAATTTAGAACAAAAAAATCAGGTGAATTCTGCTGGATAGCTTTGCTTTTGACATAACCCTATTTTTCAATGGATATCTCATAGATTACCAACCAATTCAACATAGTTTGTGACAGCCACAAAAACAAAGTTTCTTGAGTATAAAACAGCTACAGTAGAACCTCACTTATCTGACATAAATGGGCCAGCAGAATGTCTAATAAACAAAAATGTCAGATAAAACGGTCTCCTACTGTTACTTGTCCAACACGGCGATGGACACCTAGAATACTAACAACAGAAACTCAAAGGGTTAAGACAAGGCAATGCCTCGGGGCTAGAGCGGCCCAGCAGGAAGTGCCCGGATGCAGAAAAGGAGCAAGGAAATCACAGAGGGAAGGAGGGAGGACGTTTCCGGTCCTGCCTCTTTTTACCCTTTCCTCCCTCCTCCTCCTCCTTGTCTTCCCTTTTTCACTTATTGGGAATGGAGAGAGAGTTGGGGAGTGCTCCTTTAATTGAAGGGGAAATGCTGGAGTAAAGGGGGGGGGAAGGTTGTCAGATAAGCGAAGTCGGATAACTGAGACTCTACTGTATTTTCAAAGTAAGTACCACACAATTAAACAGGAAATAACACTTTCAAACCAGGAACAGAAAATCTTTCACATTTTGTTACATAGGTTATGTGTTCATAAAAGGACACAAGTATGTAGCATAAGGATGTTATGTGTTTTCAACATACTGTGAGAATTCAGGAGTCAGCGCAAAATTATCTTCCAAATTGTCGGTTTTTACAAATTAAAGTGTAAGGAATGAATGACGTACTCATCTAAAGTTCTATCCAGACTGCATAAGCTGTGTTTGTGTGTGAGATGGTGTACAGGCAGGTGATGAGATTTTGGCACTGCTTTACAACTTTTCCATGGAAGCAGATGCACTAATGACTCTTGTATCTACAAATGTCTTTACAAATATATAGATCAGTCTTATAGTGAGGATGTCATTTTTGCTCCCCCAAAATATTGTTGCTTTTTAGCTCAGGTCCCAGGTGATACATTTTTAACTTAGAGATGCAGCTTTCTAGATATTTAAAAAAATGGTTTCCAGGTGCATTACCATGTTGGCGTTACCCATGACAAAAATCAAATGTTTTCACACTGTAATGATTGGGTTAAGCAGTAAAAGTTTCAGTATGTGTTTTCCTGGTTATGTGCAGAGAAGATATGAGAGGCACCATGGGCTGTGTTAAGTGCACAAGCCATAATATGCACCAGGTGTAGTAATTAGCAGTCACATGAAGGCTGCCTATTTGTCTGGTTTGGCTGCTGTTGTTGTATCCCCTTGTGTTTTCACACCATCAGATAGCTGGATTTAATTGAGGCCACATCAGATGAGGCATTACTGACACCTTTAATTGAATGAGCATCCAGGGAGGATTAACTCATAATATTGATTGGCTTTTAGCCACTTGCTCAAAAGGGTGTCTGGGTAGCTTATTAGTTGTTTTTATTTACACCTTTATACAAAGATGGTGAATAGGAATTCATAGTGCAATATGTTTTTCTAAATACTCCTAATACTTCTAAAAAGGACAGATAATAAAAATGCAAATGTACTTAATGGTTTATTATTTATGCATAAAAATATGTGAAATGAATACTTTCATATGTGCGGTTTACTCTGGTGTACATCTATTGCTACACCGATGGTGACAAATAGACTGAAACTGTTCACATTCCATTAAGATACTAATTCATTATTAAGAAATAGGGTTTTTTTGCAGACAAAGTCACATGTAATACTAAATGGACATTGATGTAAAAACTTGAATCAATCTTGTTCATCAAACAGTGTTCAAACCATGTTCACTCACAACCCAGGCTTGAGATTTTCTTTATATTTATTCAATAACTGTGTCAACAAAACATCACAAAACATGAAGGTTTTTTCAAAAATAAGAATTACATTGCATTTTGGATGCCACCACAAGTATTTACAGAAGATATATATGTGTGTGTGTGTGTGTGTGTATCTCCTTTAAAGCACTATACATTTTATTTAAGTTTTGCAGATGCATAATTCCAACTGATTCTACCTTCCCCTTTATACACTGTGGGTCCCCTAAACTTCTATATGATATTGTAGGAAAGCCAAAAATAATATAGGGGGAAAGCAGGCTCATTGAAAATTCCACCTTCCATTCCACAAGCAGGAGTATTCTGTTGACAGAGTTCTGCTTATGACAATTGAGGATCCATTTTAGACTCAATCTAAAATTTTAGATTTTACAGAGGAAAAATTAAATAAAGAGACACACTCAGCATAAAAAGATGGGGTTAATAATTGTTCTAATGTTTGAGTCATGGACAGATTTTGGAGCCAAACTTATGGATATTGATATGATCTGCAGATAACTAGATCAGTGAAGGGCACTGATGTCAATGGCATTTCCCCCACCTAGACATTTAAAAGGGCCAGAAATGGCACTATGGTGGAGAGAGTAGAGACAGGGTTGGTGATCCTTTTAGGATGGATTCAGCTTTTGCCTTTTTCCATTTTACTCAGAGAGGAAAATGCTATCTATCTACCTATCTAGCTATAAGAGTTAAGGTACAGTATTCACAGTGACCTGTGGGTAAGTTGACCCAGGGTATACATGAGTACCTAGGGTACTTGCTTTCTCTTAAAATCAAGGCAGGTGATTCCTAAATTGCCCTGCTCCTTTAAAGAACTCCAAATTCAATAACCTAATCTAGTGATTCTCAACCTATGGGTCCCCAGATGTTTTGGCCTTCAACTCCCAGAAATCATAACAGCTGGTAAACTGGCTGGGATTTCTGGGAGTTGTGGGTCAAAACACCTGGGGACCCACAGGTTGAGAACCACTGACCTAATCTGTCTCCACCTGGATAACGCACACATCCCCACCCCCTTTACATGGAAAGTCATTTCAACGTTCTCTCCATTTCTCAAAGGCATCCTGGAACACAAATAATAGTATTTGAAAGATAATTGAATAGTGATTACAATTGCATGCATAATTTATTTTAATGTGTTCTGTTTTGGATGAAAGCATGACAATAATTCTGTAGTGATATTTCCTCATTCATTTTAAAAGTATACACATATAATGTATATAAGTTACTTTATTTATTTTTCCTCTCTAATTTGCCATGGGTTTTCTTCTTTGAGCTTTACTATAGCTTTTAAGACTCTCTGAGAGGCTGTATTTTATTTATTTCTCTGTTGAGATTTGCTTTTCTTATTGATCTACCTTGGTTTCTTTGAAAGCTAAACCATTTGCAAGATACAGGCAACTGGAAACACTTTAATAGTGGTCTGCTACGAATGTTTCCTTTAGATCTTTCTCACTCTGTATGCAATTAAGCATGCACATCAAGGTGTTCTCTAAACTGATAGTTTCCATGGGCCTGTCAAAAATTATTGCCTTGGCATTCATTTGCAGCTGCTCTTGGTTCTTGCTTGTTTTAATTGGGTCTTCCTTCTCTTGTCCTGTCCTTTCCTTCCTATCTCCTTTGCTTTTTTTTCTTTTTCCCATGTGTTTGGGGTCTTGTTGTACCCACTCAACAGTATCTCCTCCTGCAGAGTCCGTTGATGTTCACAGACCAAGCTCAGCAAGATGTCATCATGGTCCTAAAATTTCCATCCAACTCTCCTGTAACACATGTAGCAGCCAATACTCAGCCTGCTTTGGCAAATCCTGCTGTCATTACAGTTACTGCCAACCGACTGTTTGCTGTGAATAAGTGGCACAATCTTCCTGGTGAGTATGGCTGTTGCAGAAATTGTTGCATGTTGATTGTGTGTGTGTAGAAGATAAAACAACTACTGACCAGACACTCAAATTGCAGGAAGTGGAAGCATTACTTTTACAGATAACTAGTTACCTGAAATTCTCTACGGTAATTAGATCTATGATAGAATATAATTCTAAAGTTCATTATGGGATTGTGGAAGCATTAATCTATCTTTGTATGGTTAACATAATAAATAAGTAGAAACCAATCTGTTTTAAAAGTGTCTTTGTTGCATTCATTTTTAGAATGCCCAATTTTACCAGTACATTTCTCCATAAGTATGAGTGACCAAAACAAAGAAACAATACTATTTTAAAAATTTGAAATATGTTAGTTATCTATTACATTTATTTATTTATTTATTTATTTATTTATTTATTTATTTATTTATTTATTATACTACTGCCCCACTCTACTCACCCTGAATGGGACTCAGAGCAGCTTACAGTTTGGTCACTTCAGTGCCACATTGCAAAATACAGTGTATAAATACATCATATTAAACAATAAACAAATAAAACACATATATACAACAAAATGGTTAAAACTGTTAAAAACATAACTCTAAACTCATGGTCATCCTTCATGCTGCTGCATTCGTGTCTGTTCCATATTGCACTATTACCCTATTCCTTGAATGCCTAGTTCCAGTTCCAGTACAAACAGTGAGTGCAGACCCAATGATGGTCTAACTACTGTATTCTAAGTAGTTATTTTTTCCCATCTCTGTAAACAGATTACCAAACAAAAAACAAAAATAAATAAATAAAAGGGCAAACAACTGCATGGGAAAAGAACTGATTTCATTACGATGTCTGCAGCTTTTTAGTGATACTTGCTCAGATAAGAACTCAGAGTAATTGAGTTTTAATGATATATCAATTAATAATAATTTTAAACTACGTTTTCTCATTTTAGAGAAGAGTTCCATAGGCAAGTCTACCAATTCTCCTTGATTTCAAAATCAAGATCTTTTCCCCAAGATTTTTTAACCCCCAAGACTTTACCATATATAGCATCTAATAAAATAGAATATACATAGTTTAGAAGCTAATCCAACTATACTAGTTTTCCAGAGCTTCAGAGGAAATTTACTTTGCGAGGACATAAGTTTATCATTTGGTGTATGTTCAACCAAGAGACAAACAATCCATCTACTTGAAGTTTCAGTTGTGTATGATAACACCCAATAGATACATCCAATAGATACAAAATGTTTACTTCTCCCATTTCCTTATTTTGAATAAAGTATCTTATTAATTCAAAGAGTGGCAGTATGATGTACAGGGGTGAGTGTTGGGCCAGGATGCAAGGGAACCAGGGTTTAATCTCATCTTGTCTAAGAAAGCTATTGTTAGATCTTGGGAAAGTCACACTTTCTCATCTTAAAAGGAAAGCAATGGAAAACCTCCTCTGAATAGGTTTGTTATGAATCAGAGTTGACTCCATAATATAACAACTTGAGAAATATGACTTAATACATTTCTTGGCTGCAAGTTCTTTTAGAACATTATATAACAAGAATATATATTGGGGACAACTGGGAGGACTTTAATTTTTTAAAAGGAGCTTATGATTCAAATCAGTGGTTTGGCAAGAGGCTTTGCAACCTGAAAGCCTCTTGCCAAACCTGCAATAAGAATAGCAGAATTGGTCAAATAGCTTGATCGTCCTTGGATTCGTACCTCTGCTGACATCTGTCTACTCGGTTTCATTGGTTTTCCTTCTAGTTTCAAGAGGAAATATATGCTTCAAAAGTAAAATTACGTCTTTATTTGTTCTCTGTAAATTTCTGAATTCTCTTTGTTCAGCTTGCTACTCATTATGTAATATAGATGACCACACATGACTTAGTAACTTGCTGTATTGAGCATGTGTTGAGCAAGCTAATGAGGAAGAATACTTGACCACTTGCCATCACATCAGAGGCTACTGTTCTGAATTGCTCATGGGCCCTTCCTTACCACTGGCCTCTTGTCAATCAGTGTTCCAGGCTTGGTATTAAATTTCTATTACAATTCTTTTTAATGTGCTAAATAAATAAATAAGTTTATAAAGAACACAAGAACAATGAAGCCTACAAATGCCCTGTTTACATGATTTGCACCAATTTTATTTTGCTCATTTATCAGTCTGAGCATTGTATTTATTGCCAAATTCAATATTCTATCTAAGCTGGAAACTTACACTACACCATCATTTTCTCAGATTTTTGTAAATCAGGGCTTATGGATTTCATAAGAATTATGTACTCGTCCCAGCCATGCATGTGCTTTGCAAGGTGTGTGCGAAAATGTGAGGTTGGACATATGATTTTTATTATGTTCCTTACAATTCCTGGAAGGATTATTTGATATTTAGAAATTTTGCATCATGAAAACAAATATATTTCAGGCACAAAAACCCTCCACACATTTGTAACACTGCAGTCCAGAAATGTTTCTTGGAGTTCTTTTTCATGAATGCAACTTTCAGTAACTTGGTGAAATATTTAATGCTGTGTGAACTAGAAATTCCCTTATCTTTATTATATAAATAATAAGATTTTTTTTAACTGAATCCTTTGTGCTGTGCTGTTCAAAAAATATTTTTAAAGGGGAAAACAATATTAGCTATAGTCAGCAGATGGTTGTCACATTCTGTTTTCAGTGCTCTTTACCACTTAATTTTGTTTTGTTGCAACATGAGAGGCTGCCAGTCAAGCATCTGCTGTAGCTTATGGCCAAGTTCTGGACTCTCTGACGCAGGTACACATTGAGAATAGCAATAATCTAAAATAAATGCAATAAGCAGTCTTTGCAGCGCCTGGATATTTTGTTTTGTTTTGTTTCATCGATGGTGTTTAATAAATGAATGGAATTACCACTGTGCCAGGGAAACAATGGCAGGTAGTATTTGATTTATAGGATTTTCCTTGGTTTTAATGCCTGCAAATAACACAGTTCTAAAATCTTCCTTCTGCATTTTAGCTCATCAAGGTGCCGTTCAGGACCAGCCATACCAGCTGCCAGTGGAAATCGATCCTCTCATAGGTCTGTCACTTCCTTCTCTCTTTGCGATTCATTAAGCTCTGTATGGTGGCCCTGAAGTGTAGATTACGGTTGTTTTTCACTTGCTGGTTGCTGGGAATGGAATTTTCCTGATAAACCATTTGCATGCAAATTGGAATGCAATGAGCTGTGGCTATGCTGGTATTTCATCAACTCCCCCTCATTGGTTTGCCTAATTTGAACAGGCCTAGGACGTGTGTCAGTGAAAATTAATATGGATGCCGTAATAATGTGTGATTGAGAATGCGCATGAAGTACTGTCAGGATAATATTGGGCCTTTTCATCACTCAGACTTGTTGATGAGCAAGAGCGAGGCATGGTTATGATGAATGGGTGCACCGGTAATGCGATGGAGCTCCTTTGCGGAGAAATTTTCATAATAACAGCGGGATTCTTAGCCGCGCTGTGTTGTGAAAAATAAAAGTGTGGTGCCAGAATTTCATCATTAAGGGAGATCAATCCTTTCTTCACAGGCCTGCTGCTCGGGCTGAGGGTATTAATGTGTAATTGCAGAGTAGTTCCAAAGTTGAAATATATAGCTCAGCCATTTTTAGAGTTAAGATATTAGTATTCATTTTCCCGAGACATGGTAGACTTCAGGATCACAATCAGGGAAGCTGGAAGATTTTACACATCTAGAAGAACACATATAATGCATTGTGTTTCCATTGAGTTTCGTATAGTGCTCCAGTTAGTATTGCTAAGAAGTTAACCTCTATTTTTAGCCATTTAGGGTTTGGCCATCTGATTCAAACTGATAAGAGACTACAGATTTGGGAAACATTGTTTTGGTAATTTCAAATATAAAATTTACTGATTTTTTAAAACCATAACATTTTACCTGCAGAAATCTCTCAAAATTAATCTATAGCTCAATGTAATTTGTATAGGAGTGACGGTGGTGCAGTGGGTTAACCCATTGTTCCAACTGAACTGCTGACCTGAAGGTTGCGGGTTTGAATTTGTGAGATGGGGTGAGCTTCTGTCTGCCACATATTGCTTGCTGGGACATGAGAGAAGCCTCCCAGCTAACATATCCCAGCATCCCCTGGGCAACATCTCTGTAGAGGGCCAATTCTCTCACACCAGAAGCAACTTGCAGCATGTTCTCTTTTTTAAAGTAATTTGTATAGTTTTTTCTAGTTACTGAATGTGAATAAATTGTTTTACTTACTTTCATGGACAAAGGGAGCCACTACAAAATATTTTGACTGATTAATAGATTATATAAAGCTCAGTATAATTAGTAAAGTCAAATTGATAATTTGATTATTGGTAACTGATCTGTATTGAGCAGATGTAGCTGACTACCTCAATTATCTGTTTAAACCTTTGAGGATGGGCTTATAGTCCCTGCCACAATGCTTAATAAAATTATTGTATTAAAAATAATATCTCTGTTGCCACCAAATATCAAAATACAAACATTTTGTAACTTATAGAAACCTTGTAGTTTGGTTCTGCAGTATAGAGATGCCATTGACACCAGCACTAGAAATGGTTTATAATGAATGAGAGTAAGATGCCTGTCATTTGTGTCTTTAAGTCCCCTGTTGACTTATGGAAACTTTTATCACTTTCATAGGGTTTTCTGGGTCAAGGAGTATTCAGATATAGTTTTGCCAGTCAGTTTCTTCATCTGAAATATTGCACCTGATATTCATTGGTAGTCTCTCATCCAATGCTGATCCTGAATAATAAGAGAATGAAATATTGTTTATCAGATTTTTTAAATTCTATCATAAGCGACTTGAGAAACTGCAAGTCGCTTCTGATGTGAGAGAATTGGCTGTCTGCAGGGGACGTTGCCCAGGGGATGCTAAGATGTTAAGCCAGCACAAGAGTTTAACCCATTGCACCACCATGGTTCCTTGTTTATCAGAAAATAGGCTGATGAGTACAATGCTTATTTATCTGGTTCTAGCCGTCCCCTGCCACGCATTGCTGTGGCCCACATGGGGAATCTGTGCGGGAAGTTTGGCCCAATTCTGTCATTGGTGGGGTTCAGAATACTCTGTGATTGTAGGTGAACTATAAATCTCAACAACTACAACTCTCAAATGACAAAATCAATTTTTTGAGTGAAAGACATACATTAGGTTGTTAGGTGTCTTGTGTCCAAATTTGGTGTCAATTCATCCAGTACTTTTTGAGTTCTGTTAATCCCACAAATGAACATTACCTTTTTATTTATATAGATTATATGCCCTTAACAGTTCCTAGTGTTTAAGAATGTTCCATTTCTTGATAGATTTTCCCCTAGAGATATTTCCTTGCTCTTGACCCATCTATCTTTTGTAACTTCCTGCTGTTTTCACTCCTAAAATGATTCAGTTATTTCAAAGATTGCTTACAGAAGTTCTCCTTCTAGCCAAAATTCTGCTTTAAACCTTATATTACTGGGCACAGAGGATAGCAGAACATGGCAGAGCAGTTCACCAGGTCACGTATGAGCAAGAAAAAATAGCCTGAAAACTTATTACCAAATTGGGATGTTTTATTCTTAAGATTTAGCCATGTGTGCAACCTCTTTTGCAGGAAACTGCATAAGGTTCACTACCCTTAGTTTATCCATTATAAATAGCAGTGTTCGTATGATAACTTCTGATTAGCTCACTTGACAAGCTAGAAGGATCCTAATTTGGAAAATGTTTCTTTTATTAACAAGGATAATTCCTAATGTGGATTTTGAACTTACTCTTTTGTCACTCTTTTAACTGAACAATTAACAGTTAGTTGATTTTTTGTGTGTGTCAGAAGTGACTTGAGAAACTGCAAGTCGCTTCTGGTGCAAGGACGTTGTCCAGGGGACGCCTAGATGTTTTCTCATCCTGTGGGAGGCTTCTCTCATGTCCCCACATGGGAAGCTGGAGCTGACAAATGGGAACTCACCCCATCTTGTCAGCAGTTCAGGTCAGCAGTTCAGAACTGCTGACCTTCAGGTCAGCAGTTCAGCCAGCACAAGGTTTTAACCCATTGTGCAACCACGGCTCCAGTTGGTTGAATGTTAATGCAACAGTATGACATATGAAATGCTCCTAACAATTTAGCATGAAGCAGGTATTGCATTCCAAACATTATTTTGCAGTGATCCACTGGTGGTAATTGAATGTATAGGCTGGATTTTGCAGATTTTCCTTCCTGGCAAACATGGAAAAGTTTGTAATGAATCAGCGAGGAGGAAATGAAAGGATGGGCAGGAGCAATAGCAATAGCGATACACATTGCTTAATTATCTGTGTAAAAATCAAGAAAAAAACTCAGTTTAAAACAATCCCAAATTAATATTTTATGTGTTTGTTTTTTTTACTTTCTTCTCTCCCCTGCAGCTAGCAATACAAGTATGCATAGGAGACAAATCACAGATCTTTTAGACCAAAGTATTCAGGTCCATTCCCAGTGTTTTGTAATCACTTCTGATAATCGATACATTCTGGTCTGTGGTTTCTGGGACAAAAGTTTCCGGGTGTACTCTACTGATACAGGTATGTATCTAAATTAGTGTATTATTTGGTTGCCTTCTGCAACTTTGAGTAAGGAGTTGGTACCTATTCTGGTTTTTCTATTCATTTCAATGTCTTTAAAAGAGTTTTTATTTGATTTTTCACTTTTCTTTGCTTTACAATAAAAGGATGTTTGCATACCATACAACAAATAAGGAAAAAAATAATGTTATTTTAAATCTCTTTGGAAAGAGAAGAATGCGCAATGTCTATCCAAAATCTTTGTTGTCTAAAATTTACAGTATTTCTGAAACATTCCAACCTCTTAAGATATTTACTTAGAAAAGAATAGTGATCATTCCTTTATGCCTCCTTCTGCCAAACTTTTATGTTCTACTTGTCATTAAAAATCAAACAGAGCTTTTGGTCAGATGCAGCATCATACAAATGTTCCCTTGCATAAGATTGACTTTTGCAGTAAGCCAAATACTAATTGACTGTATAGTATTCTGCCCCAGTTCTAGCAGATGCCATTCCCCTTAACTTTAGGATAGACATGGCCTCAGTTCTCTGTTTTTCAGCACTAACCTTGCTATTTTGAATTTCTTGTCTCTACTGCTGGTTTGTGATCTGCATACAATATATTCACACAAATTATTTATAGGAGTCCTCTTTAATAAATACGTGGTAATAATAAAACTTTATTTATATCCCACCACCATACCCCCAAAGGGACTCGGGGTGGCTCACAAAAGCACTCCAAAGTGCAGCACACATAAAATACACAATGCATAAGCATTTAAAACAATATAAAATTACACAATGATTTTACATAAAACAACACATAAACTCTTGTTAATAAGAAGTCAGTGCCTGCGCCAGTTCATAGAAGGAGATGCAGTCTCGAAGATAGGTTGGACCTGAAATGTAGAGGGCTTTATAGCACTTTGAATTGAGCCCAGAAACTTGTCAACAGCCAGTGGAGCTATAAATGGTTAGTAATCTGGCTGTCGGTTAGTCATCTGGCTGCCGGTCTTTGCACTAACAGCAGTTTCCGAGCCTTTCTTCAAAGGCAGCCCCACGTAGAGTGCATTGCAGTAGTCCATTCTAGATGTTTCGGAGGTGTGGATCGCCATGGCCAAGTCAGGCTTCTCGAGGTATGATCACAGCTAGTGCATGACTTAAGAATCTCTATACCATTTATTTTATCTGTTCATAGTTCCCCCATATATATGAATGGAATTACAGCATTTACATAAAATAGTGGTTCTTAACCTGTGGGCTGTGGACCACCAGTGGGCAGCGAGGATGGAAACTGGTCCGTGAGCCTCCTTCCTCTTTATTTACTTATTTTATTTCCTCTCCTTTTGCGCTGCCTGCCACTCCTTTCCTGTCGCTGACCATGGCATATATTCTAAATCTGAAACTAGAGCTGATATGGCCTATCCAATGCAAATTTCTGAATCAGCACCCCAAACCAAATCTAAAGTTGTCCAAAAACTGATTTGTAACCCTTTTGGTACTAATGTTGGAGAGTGGTCCCTGGTCAAAGTGGTCCCTGGTCAAGTGGTCCCTGATTTAAAAAAAACAAACCCTGACCTAAGAGAAGCATTCTGTTAAATCAGAAGGGATGTTTTTCTATTTTTGTTCTTTGCGTTGTGATCCTTGAAACTTTTTTTCATCACAAAATGGATCTCCAAGAACATTCCTTTCATTGTTCCATTCTTGTTCCTTCTGGTTTATTTTCAGAACAAGTAATTTAGAAGCATCTAAGCCTACTTAGGAACAGTGAATCGTTGGAACAATTTGACAAGGAAAAATATTTTAACTAGATGAATCAATTGAAAAGATCCCAGTGTGTGACAACAATAAATATTGTTGGAATATGTATTATAAATCCATTCTTTGAAATGTGAATAAAAATATCAGAATAAAATAATTTGAGAATTAAAATGAAAATGTTTTTTTCTTTGTGGACTCTGTGAATGCACACATGTGGAGTATCTGCACCTAGGCAGGTTCCAACAGAAAACCTTCAAAGTTTAAATCCAACGTTTTGGCAGTAATCACCCAGTCCCCTCTCCAGGGCATTAAACGCGCCCTGGCCACACGCTCCGCAGTTCCTGCTTTTCCGCCGCAAAGTTCACTTTGGAAACTTATTCGCGATGTCTACTACTTGTTTTAAGCAGTGTACTCAGTGCTCTGCTAAATTTACAGACTCTGACAAGCACTCTAAGTGTCTTCTCTGCCTGGGTGCAGCACATGTTATTTCTTCCTGCCGCCATTGCTAGTCCCTGACAGCCCAGGAATGGGAGAACAGGGCCGCTTGGCTGAAATACCTTCTGTACGAGCAAACCTTCACTCCCTTGACTTCTCAACTGTCAACTTCTGCTCCTTGGACCTTGGAGCCCTCGACCTGGACTGCAGCCCAACATAATTTTAAACATAGTCTATATGTGCATCTGAGTGGCTGCCACAGTTATAAGACTGACTCAAAATTCAAGTAAGAAATAGATTTTTGGAATTTTCTCAAATGTAAATATTTTTGCAATACCTTGCAAATTAAAAAAGTCCCAAAAGCCAGTGTATCATGAGAATTGATCAACCCAACTGCTTCCAAGATGTGTTAGTCTTCAGCGAGCATGTGAATTTTCAAAACTGTATACTCACTTTAGCTATAGAATGAAGCGATACCATTGTATTCCCTCATCCTACCCAGATTCTGCTGTGTGTGTAGCTCATGCCTATGTCTTGAAGAAAGAGGCAAGAGTAATCTGAAATGTATTGGAACAGCAATCTGGGACATTAAAAATGCTGCTATTAAAATGTGACCTCTGGTTTGTGTTTAATAATGCTCAAAATGTGCTTCCTGAGACACATGTGCTCTCCAGTAACTAAGGTGAATAGTGGTGGTGGTTATTAAAAAGAAATCACTTTGTTCTTTCCACAGGAATCACTGTTAATAATGTGTATGTGTGTTTAAAAACAAAACATAAATTTTCTTTTTCTTTTATTAATCCATTTTTTTAAAAATGAAGAGTTGGGTTTACTGAGCATTCTCTCTCTTAAATGTTTTAAACAGACCTATTTAGATTGATGTTTTGCTTTCATGTAGTGGGTGTGACTATCAATAAAAGATTAACAAATGGTGGTAGAGGACATTGGGTGAATTTTTAACCAATTTTATGGCATCATGTTTAATATATTAAAGCTGCAAGACTGAAATCTGAGTTCAGTGAGTGGAACTTTTGTCGGCTGCCAGATTACTAATTGGAGCTAACTAGAGGGAACATACCCTTCCGACAAGTTTCCAGGTTCAATTCGAGGTGCAGGTTATTACCTATAAAGCCCTATACGGGGCTTGACGAATGCAAGGCTGGGGTGAAAATTGCTGGAAGAAACATTAACAACCTTAGATATGCAGATGACACCACTTTGATGGCTGAAAGCGAAGAGGAGCTGAGGAGCCTTCTAATCAAGGTGAAAGAAGAAAGTGCAAAAACTGGGTTGCAGCTAAACATAAAAAAACCCCCAAGATTACGGCAAAAAGAATGATTGACAACTGGGAAATGGAGGGAGAAAACATGGAAGCAGTGACAGACTTTATATTTCTAGGTGCAAAGATTACTGCAGACGCAGACTGCAGTCAGGAAATCAGGAGATGCTTACTCCTGATGGGGGGAGAGCAATGTCCAATCTCGATGAAATAGTGAAGAGTAGACACATCACACTGACAATGAAGATCCACATAGTTAAAGCAGTGGTATTCCCCATCGTCACCTACGGATGTGAGAGATGGACCATAGGGAAGGCTGAGCGAAGGAAGAGAGATGCTTTTGAACTGCGGTGCTGGAGGAAAGTTCTGAGAGTGCCTTGGACTGTGAGAAGATCCAACCAGTCCATACTTCAGGAAATAAAGACTGACTGCTCATTGGAGGGAAGGATAGTAGAGGCAAAGATGAAGTACTTTGGCCACATCGTGAGAAGAAAGGAAAGTTTAAAGACAATGATGCTGGGGAAAATTGAAGGAAAAAAGATGAGGGGCCGACCAAGGGCAAGATGGATGGATGGGATCCTTGAAGTGACTAGATTGACCTTGAATGAGCTGGGGTTGGTGATGGCCGACAGGGAGCTCTGGCGTGGGCTGGTCCATGAGGTCACGAAGAGTCGGAAACGACTGAACGAATGAACAACAATAACAACCCTATACGCTTTGGGTGCAATCTATCTTCAAGACTGCATCACTTTCTACGAAATGGCGCAGGCTCTGAGATCGACAGGGGAGGCACTCCTCTTGGTCCTACCACTGTTTCAAGCATGGTTGGTGGGGATGAGAGAGAGGACCTTTTCTGTGGTGGCCCCACCAGCTCTGAAGATTACATTACCCCCCCCCCCCCCCCCCACCTTCAATCTTTTTGTTCTAACCTGAAAGCATGGATGTTCAGGCAGGCCTTTGACTTTGAGTTGGCTGAATGGGCCCATATGAAGCTGACACTTCTCTCCTGTGATTTGACGGCAGTTAGTTTTATCTATTGTTGTTTTAAAATTGTGTTGTTTTGATTTTATGCTATATGTGTTGATGGGGGTGTTATAATTTTATGTAACTTGTTTTATACTTTCGTACCATTTTTACCTGTTGTATGTTATATGGGCGCCCTGGAGTGCCTTGTAAGCCACCCCGAGTCCCTTTGGGGAGATGGTGGTGGAATAGAAATAAATATTATTATTGCTGCTGCTGCTGCTGCTGCTGTTATTTGTTTTTCACTTAAACTCTTGTGACTTCAGTGCAGCTTTCCTTATTATTATTATTATTATTATTATTATTATTATTAGTAGTAGTAGTAGTAGTAATAAACTTTATACCCTGCCACCATCTCCCTGAAGGGATTCGGAGTGGCTAACATGAGGCCAAGCCCAAACAAATTACAACAGAGCAGAAGTACATATAAGCAAAAAAATAACATCAAATAAAATATTTAATAATAACAGTAATAAAATGAAAATAACAAAATAATAATAATAAACAAATGATAAAATAGTAATAGACTTAGACAAAGAGAGCGAGGCCCATGAATAAAAATGGATAGAATTTGATAAAACCCATGGTGAGATAGGTAGAAAGTGCTATGATTTGAGGGTGGCTCGGATGGGATAACAATAGAGTCAATCTTCGACTGAGGGATAAAATGAAGAGCATCAAAGAAGCAAGTTGGACTTGGGATGGGACGAGGCATGGAAATTAATTGTTCAATCCCCAAAAGCACACCGGAAAAGCCAGGTTTTTAAACTTTTTCTAAAGGCTGCCAGGGAGGGTGCCTGTCTAATCTCCCTGGGGAGTGAGTTCCAGAGCCAGGGGGCAAGCACAGAGAAGGCCTTCTCCCTCGTCCCTACGAGTCATGCCTGTCACGGAGGTGGGAGCGAGAGGAGGGCCTCCCCTAAAGGTCGAAGAGATCATGCAGGTTCGTAGGAGGAAATGCGATCATGAAGGTAGACCCACCCCATTCAGGACAGCATCTCCTCAATTGTCATATAATATTTTTTAGTATTGATTATAGTGAAGGTGAGAAGATCTAGACTGGTAGATGGGTTCTGTTCACTGTATTTCTGATCTGATATTGAATGGGGTAGATCCAGATTGGGAGTTGTTTTAGTTCCATTCACATTGGAGAAAGAGAGAAGAATACCGATTTCTCTATTATTCTTTCCTATCTTAACATCAACTCTAATACAGTGAGAGGGCTGAGGACCCTGAGTGCTGAAGCTAGCATTGGGAAAGGGGGATTCAGAGAAAATCACCAGCAACACACTTATCTTCCAGTGGGAAGTCTTTACTGAATTCGGTTTCCCTCTGTGAACAGAAGGAGCCCTTTTGTTTGTGGTGGATAAGTCTGTCTACTGATCTATCTATATGTTTGTGCATCTACTTAAGAGAAAGAATGAGAAAAGGATAAGAATGGTCAGACTTCTTAAAAAAAGATCCCCAAGATCTATGACATTAGCTTTACTTTACTTGTTACATTCAAATAAAAATTGAGAAATATCTACCTGCGGCCAAGATAAATCTATAAATAAGCAATTCAATTATAATAGAAAGCTAACTCTGCTTTTGTGTTTACCCCTTTTTTAATATGTAAAAAAGTTGTAGGTTTGTGTTTGGTTATTCCCACCCAGAAGGGAAAAATATTGAGAGGGGAATGTAGAATGAACAGGAGAAGATGATGTGGTCAGTAATAGGTAATGGCAAGTTCTCACAAATGTTGAATTCAATTATATTTTAGCACTTACAGAAAAGAACCCTTTTCTTATTAGACTGGTGGGGGGGGGGGGAGTGACTGGGTTGCAACAGGAAATACCTTGAACATAAATCATTCATTCAGAGTACAGCTAATATAGCAGACCCAAAATAAAACCATCCCACAGTGGTTGATATTTTTTCAGGATTTTTTAAAAAATCAGTAGGGCAGACACTTACATCTTATTATTTTTTTTTGTAATACAGCTGTTACATCAAACATTAACTAGCAAATTTGTTCTGTCAAAAAAGGATATCCTAATGCATATGGTGGTCATTGATACTATGGTTTAAACAGCTGGACTTATTATTAGAGCAACAAAAACATGGAAACACCCTTAGGACATTATTAGAAAGTAGTTAAATAAATATAAAGGGAGATTGAGGAAGCAGAATTTAATAATTTCTCTAGCACCATATCTGCTTATTGTTAAGTCCCAACTAGAGTAAAACCCTTGAGTTAGCTGGATTTACCTATGTATCAACTGATAGTTTTACCATTGATTAAGTGCATCTGCTTTAGCTGAGACTAACCAACAGGATCCCAGCCAATAAAGAAGCTAGTTATATTTTCTAACAATAGTAATATTAGAACTTAAGAATGTAGACCAAAATTGTATGATTTTTATAACTGATTTTTCAAGAATGGGTGATTTATTGTATTAAACCTAAAACTGACTAAATGGAAGAATATCCTTACGTTTTTGTGGCCAGCAATTTTGAAAATGTCTTTGCCAAATTGGACAAGTTTCTCTGGATGGGTATGTAATTTGAGGAGAACAGAGAAAATACTAGTGCAAGTCACACTAAAGAAAAAATCCACTTAAAATCAGGTTTCTGCCTCCTGCAGAATTCTGGGGTTTGTAGTTTAGTGAGGCTGTTAAAGGCTTCTCCCTAAACTACAAACCCCAGAATTCTGCAGGAGGCAGAAACCTGATTTTAAATGGATTTTTTCTTTAGTGTGACGAGGCCCTAAAAGGACCCTTTTAGAGGTTTCTGCAGTAAAAGGTTTTAAGATAGAATTGGGAAAGAGACACTGTCTTATGGAGTGGACAGTTCTAAGTTAAGTAGATATCTGGGAAGGGTACATCCCTGGGCTTTGTGTGGATACATGAAACTCTGGATAATAGATAACTTTATACTTTCAGTATGATGAACAACTGAGATATCAAGAAGAGAGGGTTGTATAGGTTGTATAGAAGACGCTAAGTGAATATGTAAAACCATGGATAAGTGAAACCATATATCTATACCAGTTCTGTGGAGATGAGAGTTGTACTGCATTTGCTTTCTTATCAGAAGTTTGTTCTTGGCTGAAAAAAATATTCCTTTTATATTATAGGAAAGCTGATACAAGTTATATTTGGACACTGGGATGTTGTCACCTGCCTTGCCCGTTCAGAATCCTATATTGGAGGAAATTGTTACATTCTCTCAGGGTCTCGAGATGCAACACTGCTGTTGTGGTACTGGAATGGCAAAACCAATTCCATTGGCGATTATGCAAATGGTAAGGGAAACCTTTGTACTTTTTAGCTTTCTCTTTCTTTCTCTCTGTCCTTTATGCCATATGACATTATAACATTTTTATACAGTAATAATTGTTGAGTTGGGCTTGTTATGTGAATGGCAACTCCCTTGATAACAGGTAGTGTGTTGAGGATTATTATTATTATTATTATTATTATTATTATTATTATTATTATTTATAACCTGTCCTCTCCCCCCGAAGGGACTCAGGGCAGTTTACAGAAAAATAACATAGATTGCAAACGTTCAGTGTCCAAAAATAATCAAACAACAATCAAGGTGAAACATAAAATAGTATTAACTCAGTATAACTTATGAAACAACAAAGCTGAAGGTTAAACTAATTACATAATAAACACAGGAGTGAAACCAATTAAAACACCATACGTTTAGAAGCGTAGTATAATGTGTGACATCTGCAGGCTGAGGTAAGTAACTGGTGTGTAGGTGGGTATACATGTGAGTTACACTAACCCTCCCCTTCTCCATAAGCTAAATTGCACAGATGGGTCTTTAGAAGCTTCTTAAATGAAGGGAGAGAGGGGGCCATGTTTAGTTTTTTAGGTAGGGAGTTCCAGAGGCGGGGAGAGACCACGGAGAAGGCCCTCTCTCTCGTTTCCACCAACCGTGCTTATGACGGGGGTGGGACCGAGAGCTGAGCCTCCTCCACAGACCACAATGCTCGAGGTGGTTTATACACGGAGATACAGTTTTTCAAATAGTCTGGGCTTGAACCATTTACGCCTTTATAGATAATAACCAGCACTTTGTATTTCACCCAGAAGTAGACCGACAGCCAGTGGAGCTGCTGTAATGCTGTGACATGGAAATGGTTCTCTCCCTGTACAGCGCTCTAGTTAGTAACCTGGCTGCTGATCTCTGAACCAGTTGCAGCTTCCAAACTATCTTCAAAGGTACCCCCCACATAGAGAGTGTTGCAGTAGTCCAGACAGGAAGTAACCAAAGCGTGGACTACCATGGCCAGATCTGGCACCTCAAGGTATGGGTGCAACCAGCGCACAAGTTTTAGTTGTGCGAAGGCGTTGCTGGCCACCGTCAACACCTGGGGTTCCACGGTCAGTGATGAGTCCAGGAGCACCCCCAGACTGTGAACCTGTGAACCTGGGTCTTCAGGGGAAGTGTGACTCCATCCAACACAGGCTGTAGACCCACATTCTGATCCGCCTTACGACTGACCAGGAGTACTTTTGTCTTATCTGGATTTACCTTCAACTCATTAGCCCTCATCCAGTCCATCACTGATGACAGACCACTGGTTTAGGGGCAGGATGGCTACAGTGATGATATAGAAGGAGCAGAAAACCCTAATTTTAATAACAATGAATAGAGAAGTTTACTAGTGAATCCCACATTTTATGTGGATCCCTAAATCTTTCACACCTTACAACTTGCAGAACTGCCCTATTACTTTCTTCTTTCTTCTACCTTCCCACCTAGAATATAGTTGGCTCTTTATGTAAGCCATATAATTCATTGGTTTCATTCCTCAATAGTGGAATTTTTAGAAAGCAATCCCTATAAATGATCTAGTATTACTGTATGTATGTATTTTTGTTTGTTTGTGGTGAGACATTCTATGTACCCTTAAAGATGATTCCGAAATTATAGTTCATTTATAATGTAGAAGCTGGAATGCTGACAGAGTCACATACAGAAACCATATAATACTACTTTTAAAGGAATTACACTGAATGACATAAACTTCCAATCTGAATTCAAGATGCTAATGATAATATTCTTGGGATCTGAATACTTGAGGAGCATCACTCATTTATGTCCATGTCTGGGGTCTGTTGGAAGGCCCTCCTCAGTGTCCTACTTCTAGGGGCAATACATTGTGGAGGATGTGGGAACAAACCTTTTCTCCCCTGCCCCCCAATTATGGAATACCCTCTCCCCAAAGTTATGATTGGTGCCACTACTGGTGTTATTCTGATAGCAAAGATGGGTTTTGATTAAAATCTTCAGGCTCTAGTTAATTGTATACAAATGTGTTAGAGTTTACATGATTAAAATTGTTTTAGCTGGTTTTGTATTTAGCTGGTTTTAAGTGAAAAATGATTTAATACATTTTAAGCCTTTAAAAATTATTTTGGTTATTATTGTTCTTTATTTATTTATAATACAGAGCAGGCTATAAAAGTAAATTGGCCCTTTAATGTTTCATTACTATGCTTTAGATAGGTTAACATTAGAACGGTGTGCATATTTCATACTTTATCCTTAACATGGGGATAATTTTAAAGGAATCAAAGCTAGAAAAAAATTAAACCAGATTGCTCTTAGGAAACTTTAAATGCCCTCATCCTGAGCCTTGCTAATCTCCAAACACTTAATAACTTAAGGAAAAGGGGAGTGAGGAGCAAAAAGAAAATAAAAAATACAATTTCTCCCTTTGCCTTTAAACCCTAATCTTTTCTTTTCAAGCAAGGGAAGGAAATATAAATGTGATGTGTCTCATTAAGTTATACTGTATGCAGCTGGGTGTGTGTTTGGAAATAAACATCAGAATGAAAATGCAGGTAGATATCTGTGGAATTACTACCTTGAGGAAGATAATTCTCAGTAGGATTCTGCTGGTGCAACAAATACACTCAGGCATTTTTGGCTTACATGGAGCTGTTTCTTTAATTTTTCTGATCGTATTGTATTTCTAGTAGATCTATAGAAGTAGCTCCCAGAAAAACAAGCAGAGATGAATAAAATTACTGTTATCTTTCTCAAACTTTTTTCCCTCCAAATAATGCAAATTATTCTTAATCAAAAATTGCCAGGCCTATTTGAGTTGTGAATAAAATATAGTATGCTAACTGGGCCCATTAGAATATATTTGTAAAATAAAGTGTACACATGTGTATTATTGTGGGAATCACCTGTAACATTTAGTAATTTAGATATGCAGTGATCAGAATTTTTTTAGCTATTAAATTAAATTTGGGGTCTTATTTAATTTAATTGTTTAATTAAAAATAATTTTCACACATTTAGAGAAGGTTTAAGTAGAGTTGCCCTCTGCATCAAATATATGATGTGGTACAGGCTAAAGGGAAAATAATTTTGCAGAAATATGTAGGATCATTCAAACTTTTGTCTCAAAAATTAAAATTATTTTAGCACTGTTTTATGGGGTTGTGACTTCATTTTTTTCTTCAGAAAAATGGTGATCCATGATGAGTGAACCTTAACTCACTTCACATTCAAAATAAAATGATTGGTTGTTGGAATTAATAGATGTGGCAATTTTTGATTTATAATTCAAAATGTATGCCACTGCTTTCAAATGGGAGCTACTAGCCAAAATAATTCTGATTAGTAGGCTTAGTTGTGTAGTTTGATTCCAGCTTACATGTGCATTTCTAGAATTCTGTAAGTTAGCCAAGAGCTAACCTCAAAACAAACAGCTGGTCTTCCCTTAACATCAAAGGGTTCTCATTTGATATATTTTAAAGTTAGTTATTTGAAAATCATATTTAAATCTAGCTCTTTCCGACAACCTTTTGTAGCTAGCATCCTTTTAAGTCTTCCAGTCTTGTAAGAAAATGATGCTCAAAATCAGACATCCTAGAGTGACCTCTACTGGCAGTGACTCAAAATCCTAGAATATAATTTGACTAAAAACCAAAGTGCCATAGTTGGTCTTGGTTCCCAGAGTACTCACTGATCCCTGTTACATTTTAAACTCTGATGTTTTTTCAAAGTGTTAATCCATAAAGTACATCCATCTTGAAAAGCTGTTGGTTCTCACAATCAAGTGGAAAAGATAGTCAGCTTTAGAAACAAGTATATTTCAAGCACTCAGTTAACATTGCACACCAATGGGAAAAGATTGTCGGTTGAAACTTTGACATTAAACTGGCACAAATGTTTAGGATTTACTTTAGGTGTTTCCCCACTCCTCTCCATCCCCCGTCACCAGTAATCCTAGAAATCATTCAAAAGTTTTCAAGCCATACTACATTTTTCACGCAGAAAAATTTATTCAATATTTTCGTTTCATATTAGGATTTGTGTAGCTATCATGCATCACAAAGACATCCAAAGCATCTGATTCATTGAATGTAATGTGATAAAGATTTACTGGAGTGAGGATCAATGTCTGACTTTTGCTGCCCTAGATCTCCCCAGATGTATTTTCAAGCAATTTCTAATAGAAAAAGAAGAGAATAAAACATTTTCAATATTATCCAAATGCAGTGACTTCCCATCATTTCTTTATCTAGATGTTACCAGTGAGACCTCAATTGGAAGCAGCTGGCAAAATTGAACATTGAAACTAACAATATGCTCACTGTTTCCAAATGCTTAATCTCAGTTGAAAAGCTGTCTCCAGGTTCAGTCTCATTTTTAAATTATTTATGAAACTTCACCACTTTACCACATTCCCTTTTTGAATCATACTCTTGGAAGCCAGGACAAGGGACCACACTTCACTGATTTTATCCAAGATGCCTCTGTGTTATAATGAGGCAAGAAAGTAGTTACTCTGTCAAATGGTTGGTTCATACAGCTTCCAAAGCATTGTAGCAGTGGAAGCCAGTGGCACGACTGCACGCTGTCAATGGCATAACTGTGTGATATTTGTAGAAAGTTGAGATAAATCTGATGCATGGTGTAGCTGCCACTTGGAATTGTTCAACCAGTCCCCAAATAGCAGTCATAACATGTAGGCTGGCCTTAATTTCAATGTGTAAGATGTTTCTCTTGTGTCCAATAAATGTGTGCTATTTTACAGTAGTTTGAAAAATGAGTAAATGGAGAAAGCAGGAGATGGATTAGGAGAAGGAAGGCATGATGCCAAACAGTGTGGTGTGTACAACCTGCAGGTTAATTGGGGTGAAGGAAACATTAGAGAAGGGTTCTTGGCATTGAATCCTGTTTTTGGTTTTCGTTAGTTCTTATTTTCCATCAGAATGTGAATAACAGTGCCTTTGCTTGGCTGCATTGCTTACTACATATTCT